CTTCTCAATCATTAAACATAACTCTACTGTAAATTAATGCATATATTTGTTCTTGTCTTTAAGAAATAACAGGGAGGGCCCTACTTGGTGGTGCAACTGGTTAAAGCACAGCACTGGGAAGTTAGCAGCAGTCCCTTCAGCAGGAGTTTGATCCCTGCCAGGGAGCTGACACACATGACACGGGCAGACCTCTCCTGACCCGCCCACTGCTCCCCTCAGGGGTGTACTTCAGACGATCTGCCTGTTCTGCTCCCCACTCTGTCTCTGGTGAAGCCTCTCACCGCCCCTGCACCTCTGGCCTGTACCTCAGTTCTTGTATGCATAAGTAAATAAATCTTTAAAAAAGAAGAAATAACAAGGAGCTGGTACAATAATTTGCTATTTTGCAACAGCGCAGAGGGGCAGGGTGCATTTGAAACTAAGGTTAGATAGTGAAATTCTTCTCAGACTGTAAAGCATAAAAGAAAAAAAACCTTATCTGACAACCTTGTAGTCCGACTTAGCAAAAGTTTCAATGTTTATCTGCAAATGATACAGTCTGAACAAGCACAGGAGTGACTAATCTTGAGCTGAGCCCCAGGCTGCCTGGTTCTGGGAGCTTGCACAAGTGGGGAAGGTGGTGGGGAGACAAAGACGGGACTACCCAGACTGCAGTTAGGGAAGGATCCGTCGACATAGAAAATCCAGTTATTTAAAGGATCCTTAAAGGATCCTTTCCATATATTGACCAATTTTGTAACTATCCAATAAACTTCAGTCAAGTCCATTTTCTTTAGCCTTATCCCACTCTCTAGCATTACACGTAACTTGTTTGGATCAGAACAAAGACAAAACTTGCAGGGGAATCAGATCTGAGGCATAGATCTGAGAGGAGGGGTAGAGAGAGGGGTCAAAACAGGGGCGGGAAGAGCACAAGGGACTATGGCGATTGTCATGGGTGTGTGGTGGTGGGAGAATTGGGGCTACACATCAAGGGAGGAGTCAAATATTGTACAAAAATGAATAATGATGTAAAAAAATAAAACATTTAATAAAAAATAAAGTTTAACTCCTTTCTTTTCTTTTTAAAAAAGAGTTATTTATGCATACAAGAACTGGGGTACAGGCCAGAGGTGTGGTGGGTGAGAGGATTCACCAGAGACAGAATGGGGAGCAGAGCAGGCAGATTGACAAAGTACACCTTTGAGGGGAGCAGCGGGCAGGTCAGGAGAGGTCTGCCGCGCCATGTGGGTCTGCTCCCTGGCCGGGGATCGAACTCGCGCTGCAGTGGCTTCAGAGAGCTTCATAGTACTATGCTTTAATCTGTGCACCACCAGGGAGAGCCCCAAACTCCTTTCTTTTCAATGTAAACCTCAAACCAATGTAAACCCCTTTCTGTTCCTGGAAGACTTGGGAAGGCAGATCTCAATTTTCCTTCTGCCTCCTTGTCAGTCTGTTTACAATTAAGCTTTTTGCTTTCCTCAGAATCTGGTATCAAGATATTGTCCTCTGGGCACACTGGGTCATGAGCCCATTGCTCTGCTACACATTCCTCTGATCACTAGAGGCTACTGGACATGCTGGCATACCGGCAGTCACCTGGGCAGCGGACAAACAACAGTAGCCAAGACCAGTATTGTCCTTACTCTCATTTCTTGTGAGGAACACAGCACAAAACAGGCGTGAGAGGTTCAGGAAACACCCCCTCTCCTTTTAATTTCAAAATTAAAATAAGTGGAACGTCTTTACTATGTAAGTATCCGTACGTTCACTCAGAAATGAGGTCAGTCATTCAGATGAAAGGGAAGCAGAGAGAACTTCTCAGACAGTGGTGCAAACTGAGTCTTGAACAATGGTTGGGAATAATGGTTGCAATCTTTCTTTCTTTTTTAAAAAGATTTATTTATGCATACAAAACTGGGGTACAAGACAGAGGTGCAGGGGCAGTGAGAGGATTCACAGGAGGCAGAGTGGGGAGCAGAACAGACAGATGACTGAAGTACACTGCTGAGGGGAGCAGTGGGCCGGGTAGGAGAGGTCTGCTGCCATGTGGGTCAGTCAGCTCTTTGGCAGGGATGGAGCCCTGAAGTGGCTGTGGCTAGCTTCATAGTGCTGAGCTTTCACCTGTTGGGCCATCAAGGAGGGCTTTGCAATCTTTCATAAACATAACTTTTTGCTTATATAACTTGTTCTAATATATTTTCTTTATATTTATTTTACAGCATTTAATTGTGCATAATGGAATTTTTACAATTGTGAAACAAATCACTGTGGAATGAACCTTTCAATTTTAACACTTTTTAGCTTTAGTCAGATATTAGTATAATCTTTATTTTCATTTGCATATGCCTGGTAAATTTTCTTCCATCCCATTACTTCAAACTTTTCTGTATCCTCATGATTTTCTAAGTTTGGCATAAACAGCACATAACAAAATGTGTTAATTTTCATCCAAAATTTCAGTGCTTGACTTTAACTAAAGAGTGTACCTTATAAAAAGTTTATATTCATTATGCAATAAGATATGAACTTCAAATATTAACTTTTCCTCCTTCGTACATTTTGCTATTTTTCCAGAGCTTTCTATAAATCATTTTCTACTTTCTCCACTTAAAAACAACGGACTTATGTGGGTTTTCTTTGCTGCCTATCTCACTTGAAAGACGGGGCCAATAAAGAGAAGTAATATGAAATTATTCAAAATAATTGGAAATAAGGGACTCTATTTCCCTTTCAGACATAGTAACTCAATGGTCAACCACTCCGGTATGTGAAACTGAGAGCCAAAAGCATAAAGAGACACACTTGTATCTATGTGTGCCTATCGCGGTATTCTGCAGATTGGTGCACTCTCAGCGATGTTCTGTGTGCACTCCGATGTTCGAAAACAGGCGGGAATAGTGGCTCGGCAGAGGGTCTGGAGCAAGCGCAAACTCTAAAACATTCGGAAAGGGGCGGGGCTAGCGTTGATCCTGAGTAGGAAGTAGACCCACCAGCCTGTCGCTGCACCTGCCACGCGCTTTCGAGTATTTTGGGCCTACCCAGCTCTGAAGGTATTTTTAAAGGGCTGTGGAGAGGGACTGTGGGTTTTGTGATTGCAGGGAGGTGCATGGGGTGGTCACTGAGGGTATTTCGGGTTCAATCACGGGGTCTTTGGAATCAGGAGAGAGATTTGTTCAAGTTAGCGTTGAGTGCGCAGATCATTCAGTTCCATCTGGCAGTCTCAAGCTCCGCAGTTCATGTGTATTGTTTTCGTTCTGATTAAGTCCTCAGTGTGTTCTAATTTTCTTTGTACCAGGAGTTATGTAAAGACAGCCTTTCAGTATTTCAAGAGTTAAACCTTTTATTGATTTTAAACTTCATTTATCCGTACCTTGTATGGGTTATTCATTGGAATGTGTTTTGAGTCCTTTAAGACTAAGTCCAGGGTCACTTTTTATTAATATTCCATCTCTAGCTCAAAAATAGTTTAACTGATTGATTTTTCTCATTCAAACCATGTATATTCTCTGTGTTTGTTCACATGGTCACTAAAAGTAGTGATTTGTTTGCGAGTGTGTGTATATATTTTTTATTTGTATACTTAAAGGTTTTAATGTTTGTTTCCCCCCCAACTTTTCTTTTGTATGGTTCTCAAAACATGAGAGATTGTTACTTAAAACCGTTTAGTGTTAAGATGGCACAAAATCCCGAATGAAGCATGGAAACATTCAGCAGGCAGTCATTGTTGTGTATTGTACAACCAGCAAGCGAAGTACTTTTTACAGTCCACATTTACTTATATTTTAATGATATGTTATTTGGGTGTCCATGCATATATTACTTGTTACTGGGTATGGGAAGGGATACTTTTCAGAAAAAAAAGACTAAATTCTAGGCAAATTACTTCAGGAGGATGGTAAACAGCATGGCATATTCACATGGGGAGCGGGCAGGGCTTGGCGTAGTTTAGCACTAGGGAAGGTGAAAATGGTTACGTGGTGGGGGAGGGGCATAAAGAACGTTGCAGTGGGGCCTGGCATGGGGGAGGGGCTGGGTATCCCCGCGTGCAGTGTATGGAGCTCACTGGCAGGGAGCGGCAGCCAGACAAAGCGCACCCAAGAAGGCAGGGTCTGGCAGGCGGGGGTGAGAGAGCGTAGGTGGGCTGAGTGGGCAGGAAAGTGGGTAGAGCATGTTGAGGGGCGAGGCCATGCAAGTCTCGCCAGGCTGGGCAGAAGTGGCCTTTGGTTCATTGGTGCAGGATGGGCAGGGTAGCCAGTGTGCCCTGGAGGGCAGTGCCACGGAGCTAGAGGAGTCTAAGGGGGGTGGAGTCTAATGTTGCTGGATTGATGAACATGGCCTTATGCATTTGGCAGGCAAGATGGGACAAGATGGATTAGTTCAGTGTGTCTGGATAAGATAGGCAAGAAGGTGTTGCCAGTAATTCCCAGGGGGACAGGACCTGGTGTATGTAGGCAGGTACCTAGGCCCAAGCCACACTGGCTGGAAAGTGAGACCAGGAGGGTTGGAACATGGTGAGCCTCTCCCTATTTAGCACTGACCTGAGCCTCCCTCCCACCAGCACAGAAGCCCCACTTGTAGCCCCTGGACTCTGGTGAGTCCAAGACACAAGGTAGGTGGCAGAGTGGAGCTGGTGCCTAGGGTCTGCCTCTCAGTTCTTTGCATGTGACACCCTGGAGAACTTTACATGGTTCCATTGGGCGCTGCTCACTCAACCACAGCTGCCTCCACTGCAGAAGTCCAGTCTATCCTAGAAGTCTGTTAGCAGCTGTGCCACTGGCACAAAGGAGCGCCTGGACAGCACCCACATCCTAACTATTGCCTGAAGACTGCCTCAGAACTGAAACCTGTACCCAGACTCTTACGGAGGGGACTTTTTGATAAGCAAAGCCTTATGAGCATGTGGCAGGAACACGGGTGGAAGCAGGGGGACAGTGAAAGTAGAGAGGGTCAGTAATGAGGGTCAGCGTTTAATTTATGTTGGGGAGACCTGTCAACATTTCCCTGGTCTACAGCTCTAAATGAGTGACACTGATGAGCTGATGATCCTGGACCCTGCACTGCAGGAGAAGTCAGTGAATATGAAGAAAATGGAGAATGCGAAAAACAAGGTAGAGTGGAAGGTGACAAAAATGGTGGAATGGTGGGGCGTGGAGGCAGAGGTTGGGGTGGAATACAGGGCAGGGGTATAGGGTTAAGGGACTAACATCAACTCCCCTGCCCTGCTCACTCTTGCCCCACAGAAGGAGGAGAAGAAGAAAAAGAAGAGGAAAAGGAAGGTGAAGCAGCATGTAGATGAGTTGAAACACCCAGAGAAGACAGATGCCGAGAAGCAGCCTGAGGATGAGTTGAAACACCCAGAGAAGACAGATGCCGAGAAGCAGCCTGA